CCGTTCGCCCTTTCGGTCCCTACCGTCCTTCCCTACCGCCTCCCCTCCCCTCCCCTCCCCTCCCCTCCCCTCCCCTCCCCTCCCCTCCCCTCCCCTCCCCTCCCCTCCCCTCCCCTCCCCCCCCGTTTCCTCTTGGAGTCCTCTCCTTCCTTCATCCACCCCTCACCTCGCAGTCCTCCTCGTCTTCTCAGCTACCTCGCAGGCTCGACTGAACCTCAAGCGATCGCTGGGTGCAGCTGTCTGTGGAACGAGCGCCATGCTCGCCGGCAGGAAAGGTGACTCAGTGACGTTGAGCTTCATTCTGCTCGTGTCCAGCTGACGTCTGACTGCCAGTGGTTGACAAGCTGCTGTCAAACCAGGCGGGAGGGCCGACGTGGCTCAACAGCATCACGTGGGTGTCGGAGGAAGTCTAACGGTCTATCATGTATGTTGCCAAACAAAGGGGTACTAGTGACTACCGTGCCGTGACCTCCCGGCCGGCCCGGGGCCCGCCGGCCCCCGGCCCCGCCTGCCGGGGGGCTCGACGGGCCCGGGCCGAAGGCCGCTATTCACAGTGAGAGACTCAGCCTGAGAGGAGGCTTGACTCCCTGACATCCGAGTTTACTTAACTCTTAAGACTGACTTCTTTACTCAAAGTTAAGTTAAAATCAGTACGAGGACATCAGTAGAGGACTCCGGCTTTGACCCGTGCCCATTAGCCGTGACCGTGACCGTCCCGGCGGCATACTAAGTGATTTGATTCGATTCAATACCATGTCCCTACAGGCGTTAAAACAGGCTGGGTCTGATGAGGCGGACTCACCGGTACCAATAACCCCTACCCCTCATTGAACAGTCGGAAGGGAGGGTACATGAAGGCTGGTGGCGGCCGGGCGGGGACGGAGGGGACAGTTGCGAGGGTGAGGTTTTGAGCGGGGGAATGTCATCCCCCAACGAAAAAGAGCGATTCCGATGAGAGCAGAAGAGCCTGACTGTTTCTGGTGCTTCAAAAAAGTACTTTTCGCTCTCCGGGGATATGAAGTCACGATGTGGGGACGAATTGTCGATTCGAGGTCACGTTTCCACCTGGGAGAAGATCCAAATAAAGTCATTTCACATTTTACTGCATCAGCTTGAAATCGAAAACATTCTTTTCAGTGGGGGAAAAAAGCCCAGCTTGCCCGTCGACTCTATTCCTCTCGCTGGTTCCCCTCACTTCTGCAACCCGCGCTCCTCCTCCACGCGATGTCCTCCCTGTCCTCCCCCACTTCTCCCGTCAGATCCGATGCCCCCGCCATCTTCGTCAACATCCGTAGGGGACGCCGCGTATGCCGCATCTCCTTCTCCCTCCCCCAAATCTCGCGCCTGTTCCACGTGCGACAGGAGGAAGCTGCGGAAGCCCTGGTAAGCTGCTGCCTCCTTCCTAGTTCTCGCCTGCTCACATTATGGCAGGGAATTTCGCTCACGACGCTCAAGCTCGTGTGTCGCCGTCTAGGGGTCCGGCGCTGGCCGTACACACGGGCCGGGTACGGGGTCCACAAGGACGCGAGAGCGGCCGAACAGGCAGCGCTGACGGCAACGGAGCTTGTGAAAGACGTCCAGTCTGCAGCATTTGAGGAGCACAAGGAACGAGTCAAGCTAGAGGTGTCCAGCGAGGATCTGGCTGCAAGAGCAGTCAGTGCGAATGGGTTGAACGAGAGGTGGCTGAGATGGTACATTCTTGCGACCGACGACGACGAGGTGATATGGACGGGAGCTGAGTGAGAAAAACACGTTACAGAAACGAAAGGCGATGATTGTCAATGTTTACAGCTCCTTTGTCGTACGAGTTCCGTTCCTATGCCCCCAAGCAGGACCGTTGAAGCTAGACCTCATCAGCTGCCTCGGAGATGACCGATATTCTTCTTCCCATGAAACACTTTGTATTTTTGAAAATTAATGAATCTGATCTAAAGCTTGTCCTGTAGTCCTGTATTCGTTGCCGAAGTTCACACTAAGCTGCCACTGGCCCGGCTGCGTGACCCGGACCGAGTCCCGGAGCGACTCTTACTACGGGCTGGCCGACCCAGTGAGCACTGCGGCAGTGCAGCAGGGAGGAGCAGGGACTCGAGCAGGGAACAGGGAGGCTGGCAGGGCTCCAAAACTGAGCCGCACTCGGAGGGAGCAGGGAGCAGGGAAGCCGCAGGGCCTGGGGAGCAGGGAGCAAGTACGGTCAGTACGCCGGGACGGTCCCGTCTACTTGTGGACCGGGAGCCTGACTCAGTGTCGGAGCGGGGTAGGGGGAGGCGGCTCTACTAAGCCGCTCGGACAGCCCCTGAGCAGGGGAAGTATCAGTGAGGCTAGGCACGGCCCACGGCGGCCTGCCAGGGCGGCCCGGCCCCACTGCCCGGGCCCGGGCGCCGTGCCAAATTACGCCGCCGAGTCCGGTCATGCCGCGGGCCGTGGCCCTGTGGCCCGGCGGCCCGGCCACTGCCGGACCAGGCCCGGCGCCGGGGAGCGGCCGCGCCCGGCGGCCGGCGCGCCGTTCAAATTACGCCGACAAGTCCGGTCATGCCGCCGCGTGACGGTGGCCCTGTGGCCGGGCGGCGCGGGCCGCGCCCTACCGTAGTAAGGCGTCACTGCCCGTGTCGGACCGTGGCACGGCCCGGAGTCGCCGGGCATGCCGCGGCCGCGGCACACTCAGTGACTCGGACCCAGTGATCATCTGACACTTCAAGCTTCACTCACTGAAGTTGCGGCATATTTTTAAAACTATTATAGTGTTCGCCGAAGTGACCACCTGCTAGTACTAAAGTTAATTTTTTTTTGAGTGCAGAATGCCAAAATTCACTATGTAATTTCAAATAAGATCAGTTCAGTTTTATGAATCTCGAACAAGCGGCGCAAGGCTCGTCATCGTTCGCATCCTGGGAATGAACAGAATGGAGGGCTGGAGGAAAGGCGGCGGCGGCGGCGGAAAGTCTAGCGGCAGCAAGACAGGAGGAACAGGAGCAGGAGATACCAGCGAGTTTACCATAATCTACATCGTAGTTTTTGGTACGAGACTGTTCTATCCGCTCGCTCGCCTCGCTCACTTGCTACAGTTACGATGTTTGTCTTTGGTATCGTCTACACGTACTACAAGAGGATGTGAGCGCTCCTTGTCTCGTTCAAGACTTGCGCACCTGACATGCTTCAGCTACTTGCCATCTCGGCGTGCGAGTGCGAATGGTATAAACGGAGAGGAGCAGCAGGTCACTGACGAGGGCATCCCTGTCGCGGTATGCTCACTCTTGCTCTGTTGCCTGAACGGCACAGATCTCCCTCACTCCAATGCCTCAGTATCCCGACGTGAATGGGGATGATCAGAGCGTGCTTGCCAACGTACTCGAGCTGAACCCGCAGCAAGCTCACGCCTACTGCGGCCTAGACCCTCCTAACAAGACCTGAGTGCGAGAGAGGAAGGGGTTGGTGATGGATCCGATGATCTGACCATGCGAGCAGACGGCGTCGGGTGTGTCGATGTACATGTGTATCATCAGCCGTCAATAGCGATGGAGGGTTGGGGCGGTGGGAGCAGGAGCAGGAGCAGGAGCCTCAGCGATAGCCGCGGGGGTCAAATCAGACATGTACGGACTTGTCTGGTTCCTTGTTGGCAAAAGCTGTCAGTAGGAGAAGGAAGGTGGAAGTTGAAGTAGTGCTGTGAGGGTTGGAGAACCATAGCACTCTGATAGAAGAATGCAGTCATTCTCGATCATGTTGCAACATAGTCAGGATGGGACAACAGCAGTGACGGTCCTTGTACTAGTACTGTAGTTGTTCACAATCGGTGCCGGTTGTACCCGACTTAAACGAGCTTCTTCTTACTGTGCCTCGCCTGAAAGGTCTCGGTCCGATGCCACGGTTTGCGTTGGCAATGCCGTTCAACGGTTACCGTACACGGGTGCCGTGTAACCGGCGATACTTGAGAATCATTGAGTTAGAACCGTGCCAGGTTTTGCCGCGGCAGTGCTTCATGCCGGCATCATGGTTCAACGGTTGAGTGACTGCGCCGGGCCTGGGACTCGGGAATCGAGTCCCGGATCACCGTGATCGGACCGTGTCACTGTGACTGCCAGTAGTACGGCCGACGGTCCGACTTGAACTGAGTCACCCGGCCGGCCGCGGCGAGTCTGAGTCTTGAACTCGGAACTTCGGAAGTTTGCCAGGACGGTGACCGTTGGACAGCCTTGCCAAGTCACAGTGTGGGCCCCGCGGCCCGGACGGCCCCGGGCCCCGGGCCCCCGGGCCCCCTCCGCGCCGGCCGCGGATCCGATCGGATCAGTTTACTCAAAGGATCACGGTAGTGAGGGCCGGGCGATCGGCATCGCGCCGGTCTTAACTAAAATATTACTCAAGTTGAACTCGTATATTCAATGTTTACTCAATATACTGTGTCGCCTTCCAATACCCTAACCACCCCCTATTTCTATATTAGAACTACCCCTCATCACCCTGATGACAAGCTGACATTCCAAGATGTGTACCCCTACCCGTTCTTTGAGTAAAAAATATGGGGTGGGGTTTATTTACTACCCCCTTTCCACCCTAAGCGCTACCCCCATTGACCATCCCCGGGACCCCCACCCCCACCCCCACCCCCACCCCCACCATTCCCCAAGAACTGGTCAATTACCCCTCATGTTAACCCTATACCTGGGCGCATCACTACCCCCCTACCTAATCTCTGACCTACCTGTTAAATCAAAGGACCCTACCCTGGAACTTCTTCAAACCACCTGCAGGTACAAATGTACCCTACCTCAATACGCTTGTACCCACCCCAAACAGGCTTTGATTGATTCCACCACCGGTCACCATACCACCTACCCTACAGTAAGTACCCCTATCTCCGTACATTCCTCACCCCCCTCTATTCCCCGACTTCTTTCCTTCACATTCCCCTACACGTGGAGTACCCCCACCGTCGTAAACCGAGATTCACCCCACCCACTCCTGCTTGTCTCAACTACCCACCCTCATAAAATCCCTAGTACCCCCTCCCCAGTCAGCTGCTAGGTCTGAGAACAGGCAGTGGTACTATTGACCACCCCTACCCTACCCCCTAACATCTCTCGATGCGTCCATTACCCCACCCCTGGTTCCCTCCCCCCTTCCCCCTCTCCCGCCTCCCTCTTTGCAGCTCTTTGCGATTGCTGGCCGCCACCTGCATGTCGGAATGGCAGCAGGAGCAGGACCAGGAGTAGGCGAAGAAGGAGCAGGGAGAGGAGCAGGAGCAGGAGCAGGAGCAGGAGCAGGGAGAGGAGCAGGAGCAGGAGCAGGGAGAGGAGCAGGAGCAGGAGCAGGAGCAGCAGGAGCAGCAGGAGCAGTAGGAGCATGAGCAGGAGCAGGAGCAGGAGGAGGAACAAGAGCAGAAGCAGGAGTAAGAGGAGCAGGAGGAGGAACAAGAGGAACAAGAGGAGCAGGAGAAGTAGGAGGATATGATGACGACAACTATCACTTGATATCCTCGATGGATGACGCTACCTATGGCTCACGCTACCATCTTGTTTGTCTTGCATTGTTCATAGATTGAGTGCTGTACAATCCCAGTCCTCCCCTGCCGGCCTTGACCCGTTGAACATTCGAAATGTCAAACCGCGCTTCTCCCCTTGTTTTGAGATCAAAATCATTACTTGAAGAATGTTTTGCAAAGGGTCGTGCTTTGTGAAAGTGATCCAACCCCTTGTCATGAAATGCACGTACCCATGAGTGTTGTCTACACCTGGTTGAAATGTTGCCTTCTCTTATTGTTGTATTGCTTCTTTATTTGTCGCTGAATATTTGCCGTGATTGGTTCTGCCATGTGTCGTGAAGTTATCGTTGCTGAGTGGGTTGAATTGTTTTACCTTGAGAAGCTAAGGTTTGCATCGTCTACTGATCACGTTTTCAGCAGAATAGGGTGGATATTTCTTTCAATTTTTTGTCGAGATCGCTGAAACTTCAATAATTCTGGTGCATGCCATCTGTTGTCCCTCCCCTCGTCCTAACTCGGGATGCCCTGCAGGGTGGAGCAGCGACTTTGTGGTCTCACTAATTACGAAACATGACGGAGCTTGAGGTTCCAGAGGAGCAGAAGCAGCACGAGTTGCACGGACCAGAGATTGTCCTCCTCTTCTTGTTCATCTGTCTACTGATCGGCTGTGCCTGCCGATTCATCTTGGAGGTCCGCACGTCTCCCCTGTTTGACCAGCACCTGACGGCATTTTCAGGTGATACACCGGAAGCTCAAGATCAGAGTTCCTTACTCGGTCGTTCTATTGGTGCTGGGAGGTAGCTGGGGGGCGCTGGCATGGAAGAACCTCCAAGACAACGACGGAGAGACGAAGGAGCTCGCAACCATGTACCCAGCGGTGTCAACCCTCAAGTGCTTGCCCTGACCATTCTCGCAGATCGTTGACGCTGTGGGCGAATATCGACCCGCATCTCATCCTCTTCGTCTTCCTCCCCGCCCTGATTTACGAGTGTGCCATGGGAACAAACTTCTACGTCTTCTCCAATCACTTCGGGAGTGCCATCATCCTTGCAGGTCACTCCTCTGCGTTCCCTCGTCTTCCCCTCCTGCTGCTCTTCTCCTCTCCCCCCGCCTCCCAGGCTGCTTTCCTCCCCCTCCACATGCTGTTTCAATGCCCCTTAGACGTATCCTTTAGGTCCGGGCATGCTTGTCCAAACGTTCCTGATCGCGATAGTCGGGCGCTACATGCTCCCCTACGAGTGGGGATGGGCTGAGTCCATGCTCTTCGGAGGTATCCTGAGCGCCACGGACCCCGTCGCTGTCATCGCTCTTCTCAAGGAGCTCGGAGTTCTCCCCGACCTGCGCGTGCTCATCGAGGCTGAATCTCTCCTCAACGACGGGACTGCCATCGTCGTGTACGAGCTCTGCCTCATGATCCTTATCGAGCCCAGCACCATCGGCAATTACGTCGCCACAGGGTTCCAGCTGGTGCTGGGGGCTCCTGCCTTGGGGCTCGCCATGTTCCTTGGGAGCGTCTTCTGGCTGAACAACACCAAAGACCCGATTCAGGACACCATCGTCACCGTGTGCACGGTAAGAGCCGAGGGAGGGGAGGAGCAGAGAGCTGAAGGAGCGGGAACAGGCGTACCTTGGCTTCTACGTCGCAGAGAGCGGAGCTGGAGTTTCGGGAGTTCTGACGGTGGTTACGATCGGCATCATGATGGCAGGGTACGGGAACACAAGCATCAACACCGAGGAGGCTGCGCACATGCTTCATGCCGTGTGGTCCATCGTTGTCTTCTGCGCAGACACCACCATCTTCGTGCTTGCTGGTGCTCCCCGCCCTCCGCCCCCTCCTTCCTCATCCCGTCCCCTTCCTCTTGCCCCGCCGTTCTCGCTTCCCCTCCCTTCACTCCCCTCGGGAGCCAGCTCCGCTTCCTCTTCCTCCCTCTCCTCTCCAGGGGAGTTGACTTGGATCCGTCAGGTGCGATCATCATTGAGCGAGGCTTCATCGCAAGAGAAGACGCCTTCTCCGGGTCGGACTGGGGCTACCTGATCGCACTCTATCTCTGCCTCCTCGCCATCCGCGCCTTCATGGTCGTGATCTGCTCGCCCTACTTCCGAAACTATGGGTACGGGCTGCAGAGCCGCACGTGCTCGTGGGAGAAGTTTGTGAAGAACATGTTCATCGTCACTTGGGGAGGACTGAGAGGTGAGAGCTTGTTCACATGAGCGGCGATGATGATAATGATGATGGAGATGATGATGATGATGATGATGATGTCTCTTATCACCTTCACATCCTTACTATCTTCAGAAACTCCTCCATCCATATCCTCTCGTGCCTTTCCTTCTGCCTCAACTCTGTCCCCTTCTCTTCTCACTTGTTCTTTTCAGGTGCCGTCGGACTCGTCCTCGCTCTCGCTGTCTCTGTGAACCTGGAGCTGCAGCATGCTGTGGTCGACGAGAGGTACGGAGATCGCGTCCTCCTTCACGTAGCCGGCATCGTCGTCCTCACCACACTGGTGAACGCGGCGCTGATGGAGAAGATCATCAAGATGCTGGGCATGTCGGAGGTGTCGCATGCGGAGAAGCAGCTCTACGAGGGAGCCCTCAACTTCCTTGACGAGAAGCACGAAGAGTTTCTCGACACCCTCCAGAACCGGACCATCCACCCTGAGCTCGCCAACGTTGACTGGCATGCGGTTGCCGCGATCGTCGGCAAGCAGGCGCTGACTGGGCGGCAAGAGAATATGGAGGAGACGGAGGAGCTCGGGGGGAGCAGCAGCTACATGTATGAGAAGCGCCAGCACAGCTTCGCGCACTTGGACAGCCCAGCAGACATCGAGCGAGAGTTCCTGGGGAGATACCTCACCTCTCTCCGAGCAAGTTACACCGGGCAGTGGAACGCAGGGCTGATCGCTGCTCGACCCTACCGGCGGCTGCTGTGGGCGCTGGACATGGCTCTCGATCACTGCTACGACTCGGGTGGAGACTACAGGAGGTTCGAGTGGCACTGGCTGCAGTCGGAGGGTCTGCTGGAGCTGCCGTGGTACCTGAGGTACCTGCAGGAGATCAGCTTCCTGCGGTTCGTGTGGACGTACCTGGTGGAGCAGAACGAGGCCGAGCGGTTCGAGATTGTGAGTGCGATCGTGCGAGCACACGAGGAGACGTCAAGGTGTGAGATCAGGCCCGGGGCGCTGTCGGAAGTGTTCCTCAAGATCCTGGACGAGAGCTTGACTGTGCGAGACGACGCAGAGCAGGTGCTCAAGTCGATGGAGCACGAGAACTCCAAGATCGCCAAGTCAGTGAGGACGAGGCAGGCGTGCTGCCTGGTGCTGAAGATGTTCGAGGAGGAGGTGCACGGGCTGTCAAACTTGTCGCAGATCACGGACGGAGAGAAGGAGAGGCTGCAGCACTTGATCCACGACAAGATGACCAAGTGCACGACCCGCTACCCCAAGGTGGCGGTGCAGGCGAACGTGGTGCAGACATGGCCGATCTTCAAGTCGATCCCCACCAACAAGTTCGACGAGCTCTACGACTCGCTCGCCCTCAAGGCACATATCTTCCCTCAGGGAGCGGACCTCCTCAAGAAGGGCGAGCCCTTCCAGGGCATCTACTTCATCTCCCAGGGCCGCGTCGACTGGAGTACCGACGACTGCGCGTTCGAGGAGGAGGAGTGTCTGCTGGAGGAGGATGAGAAGCCCTCCAAGTCGGTGTCCTGCACACCAGGGAGCACCATCGGAGAGATCGAGTTCCTCCTCGCCAACGCCGACCTCCCCGCCCTCAACCGAGGCTCAGCCCGGGTCGTGACGCCCGACGTGGTCGCGTTTATGATCGGCAAGGAGCAGCTGAGCATGATAGTGGACAAGTACCCGACCGTGCTGCTCAAGCTCTGGCAGCACCACGGGCACATCCTCGCCAACGAGCTGCCGCAGCTGTTCGAGAACATGACGACTGAGATCCCCTTCAGCAACGCGAGTCTCAAGACGCTGATCAAGGGCAGGAAGCACGTCATCCGGTACCCCTGCCTCCTCGTGCAGGGAGCCGTGAGGCTCTCGAAGCAGCCGCTGCTGGTGGGACGCAAGTACGGGGAGGAGAAGAGACCCTTTGTGTTCATCTCCCAGGAGACTGCACTTCACATTGAGTGCACGGGGGAGCACAACAGGATCCTAACCTTCACGCCCGAGCACGAGTCGATCGTCGAGAGGCGGTCGGCTGAGATGTCAAGGGTGCCATGGAGGAACAGGAACATTAACGAGGCCGTCGAGGCCGTCGAGCACGCGCATCGGGTGTCCACGGAGATCCGACGGTCCATCGAGGGGAGGAGGTCGGTCGAGCACATGCGCAGCAACGCCTCCGGAGGAGTCGACGAGGCCCCCGGCTCCCCCAGCACAGGCCTGATCCGGCTCTCCGTCGAGATGCCGCGAAGCCCCGGGTACCATCGGTGGCAGCGAGCGGTCGAGGGGATGGGACCCTCAGGTCCTCTCCCCTCCCTCCCCTCGCTGGAGCTGGAGATGGATGAGATAGAGAAGGGAGAGGAGGAGGAGGAGGAGGAGGGGCAGAGCTCGCTCATCGGCACCAACGGAAACGGCATCAAGCATGCGAACGGAAACGGCATCGAGCATGCGAACGGAAACGGTATCGAGCATGCGAACGGCAACGGAAACGGAAGTTATACCCCTCGGGAGGAGGAGGAGGAGGTGAAGGATATGAGGACATACAGGGTGTGAGCCGCGAAGGAAGAGACAGAAAGTGATCTGGGTTGTTCCTCCTCCCCCTCTCCCACTTGCCGGCTGGATGAAATTGTGGGATTTTGAGTGAACCAGTGTGATTGAAGTTACAAACTTTATCATCATCTCCATCTTCTTCTTCTTCTCCATCTTCTTCTTCTTCTTCTTCTCCATCTTCTTCTTCTTCTTCTTCTTCTTCTTCTTGACTCCTTCACATCAAGTCTTCCTTCTTGTATCCCTCCTGCTCCTACTTTCAGCCATCCCTTCCTCCCGCTCTCCGTCACCTCAGCGAGGATGGTGGTGAAGATGTTGGTGGCGTAGGTAGTGACGAAGGCGGAGATGGCGACGAGCGCGACCTGAACGAATTTGAGGAAGAGGAAGATAAGGAGGGATGAAGGTAGAGCAGAGAAAGAGGAAGATACGGAGAGATGAAGGTAGAGCAGCAGAGCAGAGAAAAGGAGAGGAAGCTTGCTGACCGTCTCAATAATCACTGCTCCTCTTGTTTGCTCCTCCAAGCGTGAACTTTCAGTCGCTGCCTGATGGCTTGTCAGACCCACCCTCTCCTCCT